AAGACGCATCTGCGATATGTTTGCGAAAACAAAGCTAAAACAAGAGAAAAGGTATCACTGAGAGGCACTGTCTCGCTACACTGACATATTCATTGGCCGTTACTTTTATCCTTCACCTGCTGGTCCTGCAGGACCTTGTTCTCCCTGCAAACCCCTCTCTCCTTGTGGTCCTGGCTCTCCTTTATCACCCACTTCACCTTGCTCTCCTCGTGGTCCTGGCCTTCCTTGCACCCCTTCTGGGCCATCTGGACCTGGAATTCCTGGATCGCCTTGAATCCCTTTGCGTCCATCCCGACCTGGCGGACCTGGTGGTCCCCGTCCCGCTTTGCCATCGAGTGACGGACTACAAGCCTGATAACAAAATATACAAATAATTAGCAGTGTGTTTTCAAACACATCCTTTTTCATTCAGAAACAATCCATTGGAACTTACTTGAACCATGAAAACAGCGCAAATAGTCAACAGGAAAGTACTCAAAAGATGCATTCGTACCGAAAATCTGAAATTTTTTCAAATTTCTAATTATTCCATTTTTTGGCCCTTTCAGAAGACTATTCTTCAATAAAAATCTTACATGAATCGAACTTTCCCTTACACTTTTTAATCAGTTAAGGCAAATGATAATCGATTGATAAAAATATAACAATGATACCTGAACTGTTATACTGAGGAAAGACTTTATCAATTAAATTGAAATTTGGTGAAACGAATTTGGAAGAGAAATCTTCTATTTATATTGGGAAGAAGGATATCTGATATGAATCTTCCCGGAATTCATAAAACAAAGAAACATTCCTTTGTGGAATGGAATGATTGTATCGAAGGGAGCAAAATATAACATCAAGTGATAACCGACAATATCAGTGAAAGTTAGACAAACCTTTTTAAGCGATGATTAAAAATGATCAGAAGGTAAAAAGAATCCAATGATAGAAGGTCAATGATACATAAAGATCCAAAAGGATAGATGATAAACCAGGTTTTGAATCTTCGGGAAACAGACGTGATTTGGAAATCTCTCCGATGTTGGCATGCAAACCTCGCAGGAATTTCTGGAAAAGTAAGCTATCCGCACACTATTTCACTTTACCCAGTGCTTCGAAGTTTTGACCTCACGAAATATTAATCAGAGTTCAATTGCCGCCTGCATCTGCAATTGATTTAATAAAGTTACCTTATAGTTACTCAAACAGACCAAAAGCTTTAATTAGCTACTTTTTTGTAACAACGGCTTGGTTAGATCCAAATATTTAGTAGGACTGAGCCAAATTAAGTCGGAAAAGAAATTAGTAAGTCAGCGCATTCGGCACGTTTTTCTTCACTCTTAGCTAACACAAAAAGCATTGAAGACCTTATTACTTTATATAAAATGCAAGTTATAGTGCAATCAGTTCGCTTGTTTGCTCAATAAAATATAATACCAATTTCTGCACAACAGAATGATAATTACAATATCAGTCAATTGATCGATACATTTTTCCACTCTTATTATGGATGGTCTTTTGTCGCGATTTCTTGTCATTCAGACTGATCAATCTGCGAGAGTTAGTGACAAGATGACGTGATCATCATGCTTGTGATTAAGTGATACCTACTATCAGTCGATAATTCGATCTTTTAGTGTGATACACTCTATCAGTACTTCGACTTCATCTTCACACATTATTCTTTTGTCTCAATTTTCTTAATCAGCGCTTCCTTTTTCCTTTATTCGAATTAATTCTATCACGATTTCATTCTAAACGTGACAAAGATTGAGGGTTAATCCTCCTCTCTGGTTCTCTTTCTTCCTGTCGATTTCTTTACCTTTTTTTCCTTCACACATTTGGGTAATGGAATCTTAAATTGGGATAATCAAACCTTTATTCAATTAGTTGGTTAATACATCAACGAACTCAACAATTACAACATCAATAAAGACAAATTCAATGAAAATATTAATAAAATTAGAAAAAGAGCCTCAATTACACCCAATATTCCAGTCAACAAATCCTGTACATACATTTTTGTAAACGATTCTGATGCTCAGAACCCTTCGTTTCCTCCAGTGGGAGGGCGTTCGGATTGTTCTGNGTTTACATGAAATAACATCCTTGTGGCGCACATTGGTGTAGCCCTCTTTGTTAGCCAAATGTAAAACATGGACAGATACAACACAGTGATGTCAATTTTCAACCAAAGGGATTACTGTTCCTTGTTCTTTCGCAATA